TATTATTATTATTATTATTATTATTATTATTATTATTATTATTATTACAAATAAAATGCCCCCCCTGATACAATATGATGCATTAATGTTAAAGCAATGCTGCTGTGGCTAACCAGGATGCTGAACTGTAATGTCAGGCAATTCAGGGGGTTCATTTAACATGAAAGTGAAAAAATGTGAAATGTTTGCTTTTGAAACAGTCATTAAAACTAAAGACATTTACAGGAGAAACTTCTCTTTGCTGGACCTGCTAACGACTCAGTAAACTCTAACAAGCAACTGACAACTGCACTGGGCTTTTTTAATGTGCAGGGGTTTACACAATCTGATTTTAAAAAGCTGCAGTGGAGTCAGATTGCATCTGAAATAGAGGAATATTGCACAAAATGGAAAACCTGAGGAGCAGCGTGTTCCCCAAGCAGATGAATATGTACGAAAAACTCTGTGGATAAAAGCAGTTTGCAGTTTTAACTTTAAAAGTTAAAAAAATTGGTAAAGGTCAAATAATTTATCGGAGGGCGGCGCTGGGTGTCAGTCTAATGAATCACTCCGCGTTTCTTTTTACTGTGAAGTTCTTCCACTAATCAGCCGAGCCAAACTGGAATCACTGACTCCCTCTGACCTCACACTCCCTTGAATTCTTCTCTAATGATAATTAATGACACCGATCGGTTGTTTGATTGGGGCCGAAACACGTGAACTCCTGTTGGGGCTTTGGATCAAATCCGAGGATTGGAGCCTGGAAAGCAAAGCCAGGCTGTCATTGGCTCCTTTTGTTTTTTGCTGTTTGTTGTTGGTTTACACTAGAGGGCAGCTTGATACTGTCCATGCGCCGTAATAAGGCGCTCGCTGTGCACATGTGGTTTGCACTTATTCCATATTTTAGACGGACAGCAGAGGAGACTGTCAGATAGGCCCACACACCTGCTCTTTTATTATTTTTCTATCATTTTCTTTCTTTTGTCGTCGCGCAAAATTCCCCTTTTTATATAGGAACACTGACAGAATCGCGACAAATCCGGTTTTACTGAGAACCACAGAGCGTGTAGCATTTTAAATGCTTTACATGACAGCTTTTTCTTTTTTTATTAATATTAAAAACAAATAAAATGATCTGAGCACTTGTGGGGGTGGGGGGGAGTTTGAGCTCGCTGAAGAGGATTATTCAGCCGCTGATGACAAGCCAAAAGCTCCATTCAGGATTCAGATCATCTCCTCCTCCTCACCATCATCATCATCATCATCCTCAGCGCTGCCCCGCCGGCTCCACACACCTGTGCTCCTGCCGCCTCTTCCGCTTTGGTCGCCGGTGATGACCGGAGGACGTCGTTTAAACAATAAAACATCGTTTCTGTGCTCAACAAGCTGCCAGCATCAGTCCAACCGGCCGCGGTGAATTCCTGTCATGGGCAACAATGTTTCGGGCATCTCGACGCTGCACAGAGGTCAACAGCAGGGCTTCCACAGACTCCGCAACTCTCAGAAAGGTGAGTTACCTGAACACGCTTCGTAGTTGACGAGTTTACGTCACTGCACTGAAACTGTTGGTGAAGCTGATGGGAGAGTTTCTCCTGCTGCTCCGGGATCAGCTGCGCGGTGGTGCTGAAGAACAGCTCCCGGCTGCAGGAGGCGGGCCTGCTGCCTGTTCGGGTCGCGCTGGTTGATGCCGGGAGGTGCACGTGCACGTTTGTAGGGGCAGACACGTCAGCACTGAAAACATGAAGCTCGAGGAGTTCTTAATAATTCTGTAGCATTGCCCAGCCAGGGATGCTCAGTATGCTTGCTGTATGAGAACCACGAGGCCAAGCAAACACTCGGGATGTTCGGGTCTCAGCCGCGCGAAAGTCCGAGATTAGGAGTTGTTCCGCGTTTGATCTTAACATAATGCTCTGGGACATGTTCTGATGTCACCTCTAAATTATAAAAACATCTCGTAAAGAAAAGTAAAGTCGGGATGAATTTATCACTGATGGATCGAGAGGTTACTTCCTCTGTCCTGGTCTGAGAACAGTCCTCGTGCTGCTCTCTGACGCCACAGAAACAGGAACTAAATAAAAAACTGAAACGTTGGCTGCTGTAAATTTCTCAAAGGTGAGAGCACTGTTACCAAAATGCAAACAAAGAAGTCGTAAATCGTGAGGGTGAATAATTTACAGCAGTCTAAAGGTTTGCAAACATTTAGTGTATTTAAGCTGAAATACAAAAGGCTTCATCTCCTGTACGAGTTTTTATTACTGTGCAATCCTTTAGTGAAGTGAAACCGCACAAACATCAGGATGTTTTTTCTGTTGGTGTCATTTCTTGTCATTTTAGCTATGTAAATGTTATCTATATTATATTTTATAGTATTTAAAGTAACAAAATAAATACTCTGTCATCCAGTTTCAGCTGCAGCATTTTAATTCTACTGTTTCCTAGTTTCATATATTTGGTTTTACAGCTTTACATTAAAATTAAAATATTTTTTGCATGACACTTTAGTAACTTTTTTAGGAAAGTTCACTTAAAGATGTGAGAAAGCTCACCTGTAGTCTGAAGCTAAGGCTTCTGCAGTGAAGGCTGAATATGTACGTAAACATGCAGCTGTACGGTTGCGTGTCTCATTACACTTCAGTGGCTCCATGTCTCTGCTGGTGTCTGGATTCAAACATGGCGAAGACGATACAATTTAGTTTTGGTGTTTTTTATTGGAATGCAAAGGTTATAAATGGATAGCATCTCTTTAGATTTGGTAAAGTATTCCACTCAGCGTCCCGTCTCAGCTGAAACTGTCAGTGGTTCTTCTTTGCTTGCAGACCTTGTTAGCCAGCTTGTTAACTTGCAGGTGCGGCTGTTTAGTTTGGGCTGCACGTTGGTGTGCAGACCACAGCTTCAACCAGATTCAACAAAGTTTACTAGAAGCTGAAGCGATGTGTGGCTGGATTACAAGTTCAAAAGGCCCAGATTTGGCTCAGGAGCTTGAATATTGTCACATGCAGACAAGAAGCGTAATTATTTTTCAAGTTATCTTTATAGTTTCCTTTGTTGTGTTGAGTAAAGAGAGAAATTGTATTTTTCGGTACATATTGTATGGTAACTGGTTTGCTTTGCATGTTTTATTCACAGTATTTCTAAGAACAGACCACAGGTCTTAATCTAAAGCTAAAGAATAAACTGTGTTTGGTGCAACCAAAATGATATTCCTGGACCCACTGGACTGCGTCCCACGTGTCCAATCATGCAAATTACCAAACGGCCCACCTCCACGTTGCTCGCCCTGATCTCGCTGCTACATCTGGATTGCAGAGGGGGAAGTGGTGGGCCTGGGGGAGCGGTTTAAAATGAAGCTGTCTGCAGGATAATCACCATAAGTACACACTTTGCCCTTCCATGTTCTCCCTCGATCCGCAGCACGCGTTATTTTCACATCACAGGAACGAGTGAGTCAGGCGAGGGGAGGCGAGGCGGCGCATCAGAGAAGAACAGGGACAATTATTCAGCCAGGTTGCCTTGACAACCACCCATAACATGTGCAATAGTTCCCATGGTGATGGATTCCAGAGTGCGTTATCAGCGGGAGTTGATGGCTGATTGGGATAAGAACCAGACGACGTCACCGGCAGCCGCTCGGTGATGAAAGGATGTGTTTGTGCTCTGGGTCCCGCTTTATTAGGCTGCTGCTGGGACGCAGTGATTAGTTGGATGTGGAACAGAGATATTCGCCGATCAGAGTCGGGCTGAGACGGTGTATATGTTGGCTATTACCCCCCCACGTCCGCCGCCGCCCCACAGCCTGCACAACTCAAACACACACTCGCTTCTTCAGCAGAGACGTAAAATCATTGGTTTTAACTGATAAAGAGAGCTCTCAGAGAACTGCTGACTCAGCTTTGGAGCAGTGACCCATTTCTCAAGTACTACAAACACCGAGAGACCACAGAAGTACTTCATATCAAAATATTTGTTTAAATTTAAATTATTTGGCAGTTTTTTTTAGCCTATTTGCAGCCCGACACAAACATACTGTTAGAAAGTAGGAATGGCTGCATATTCACACTCATAGCGCACAAACAGCAAAGAAATCTGCAAACAGATGTAGCTGCAGGAGACAAGCAGTGCGATAATGTGTGCGTCTTTCTAGAAATCTAGTTCTGCTGCACAAAGACAGAGGCCGACGTGGGGAAATCGCATGCGCCAGAACAAGACGAGTTCTTTCTCGTGGTTAAACAACCGTTTAGTTCCTTTCTCTCTTTCTCATCTTTTTTTAGAGCCAAACTTTCAATTCAGTGTTATTTACACAGCGCCAAACCACAGGAACAGTCGCCTCAAGCTTCTTTATATTGTAAGGTCGACCCTACAATTATACATACAGAGAAAAACCCATATGACCCCCTATGAGCACTTTGGCGACAGTGAGAAGGAAAAACTCCCTTTTAACAGGAAGAAACCTCCAACAGAACCAGGCTCAGGGAGGGGCGGGATGACTGGTTGGGGTGCAGTGCAACTAACTGAATTTGCTTTCACAAGAATAAATTAGTTTGTGTCCTTTTTACTCCGTAAGGACTCGTTATCAGTGAAAGAAGGCAGCAGAGCAAATCCTGCACTTTCAGTGTTATTAAATGGCAGCTACACAGTAAGATGTACAGAGCCCAGAGGCCAAACACAGGTAAGATATATGTGACAAAGTTATACTTTGCACTGTGTGTGCAAACAAGATACTGCAGCGTTTGCTGATCTCGGTCATATTAAATAAGACATAATGTTGACTTTGATAACTCGAAGGTATGCACACTGACAAATGAGCAGCTTCACAGTCACATCTCTCCTCACCTCTCACATCCAGTTTCAAAATGATGATTCCTCATCGCAGGGCTTCGTATGCTTTGGGGTGGCTGTAGCTGAAGAGGTAAGGCAGGTTACCCTGCAGCCTAACACCAAGTGGCTCTCCCGTGCATCAATAGAGCGTGAATATTAGATAGAAAGAAAAAGGTGAACGAGGCCTGTATAAACCACTATAAGTGCTCGAGTAGAGTAGAAACGCTTTATAAAAACCAGTCTCTCATATCAGTGATGATCCTCTACATCAGAGTTTGACAAAGAAGTTGATGTTTACACCCTCAGGAAGTTGGAGGTCCAAGGAGAAATCACAGAACTACAGAAACAAGTAGTCACAACGACACTTTGAAGGACTGTGAGCAGGCCAGAGGTGCTAAACTTTCATATTTTTATGCACAAAGTCACAAAAATGTATCCTTCTCTCGTGCACACAGATTAGCTCAGTGTGATGAAATGTGTCCTCTTTATAGATTTTTCTTCTTTGGCTTCTGCAGAACGTTCAGAGTTCTGCAGCTGCTTTTCACTTAGAACTTTGGGGCAACAATAACACAAAATGCGTTTGCAGACAGTTTTATTGGCTGTCGTGTTTATTGGGTTGCGACACGGCCCGTGTAGAGACAGGAGGGAGGAGCTAAACAGTCTGAGCTGTACATCATCACTTTTTCATTAGCACAGGCTGATTTAGTTTCCACCACATGATATTACTGCGAGGGCACCGCAAGGGCATGTTGCTACCTCACACACACACACTGACCAACACAAACACACAGATGACTGGTTCACATAGTACTTTTCTGTTGTTATAGTGTGTACTGCTGATAGTGGACGTTGTGGTTATCTCAAACCTAAGCTGAAGTCTGGGCTGATCATTTTTATCTGTGCAGCATTCGACACGTTGCATCCTCGGCTTCTCCGCCTGGTCAGGAGTGGAAACTTATTCATGGGTTAGGGCTGTTTTGGCCATGAAAGGTGGTTATAATGTTATGCCTGATCAGCATCAGTTCAGTTAGGGAGTGTTTCTGTGGAGCTCCATGATGGTTACCAGACCAGGAAGACTGTTTTACCTGAAGTCTTTTGAGCAATATTTATTTTAGCAACAACATGTGCGTCAAGAATCAAGAATTGAGCTACTTGAGTTAAGGGTGGGTGATAGAAACGATATAAATTTGGCCAACGATAGAGATTTTAACTATATCGCTCTATCGCAATAGCGCATGTTGATGATGTCATCAAGCTGCGCCTGTTTTGGTCGAAAGCATCCCAGCGGCTACAACCATTATGGCGGTCGACAGTCATAGCAAAGAGATGAAGCACTTTTAAAATATGGGGAAAACCAAAAACTGTGTTTCCTCCACTTCCGTAACATTGATTCATTAATGTTGAATTCTCTCGCAGCTGCTCTGTTCCCATGTTGTTGCAGTATATTAATAACTAACCTCGTATTGTGGATGAATAATCTCAGTTGTTCTCCTGACTGAAGTTTGGCCCGTGTATAGCATCCTGCTATGCGACTGCATTTGTCCCTGACCACCAGAATCCCTCACGTTAACTTTTATCGAGTGGAAAAACAGTTGGCGTTCACCCTCCAGCTTCACTGTGCTAATGTTATGCTAACATAGCTGTGCTAGCAATCACGTAGCACAACATTATATACCAGGTAGCCCAACTTCAG